TGAGTGAATCCCATGTTTATTAGAACCTCTGTGAATTTTGCATTCCATTGACGGGATGCTTGCTTCAAACCATATAAGGACTTGCGTAGACGACAGACCATATTCTCCCCTTGTCTACGAAGTCCAGAAGGAAGATCCATATAGATTTCTTCATGAAGATCTCCGTGAAGAAAGGCATTATGGACGTCCATTTGATGAAGGGGCCAGTCACGTATGGCAGCAATGGACAAGAAAGCCCAAACAGTGACATGCTTGGCTACTGGAGAAAAGGTGTTTTGGTAATCAAAACCTTCTCTCTGGGTGAAACCTTTAGCAACGAGACGAGCCTTGTAGCGATCAATGGATCCATCAGCACAGTGCTTGATCATGTAAACCCATTTGCAACCAATGGGTTTCCTGTGAGAAGGACGTGGAGCAAGATCCCAGGTATGATTCTAAGATAAAGCATTGAGTTCATCAGCCATGGCCTGACGCCAATGTATATGGGGAATAGCGTCAGAGTAACAAGAAGGCTCTTGTTGGGCGGAAATCTGATTGATACAAATCCTGTGGGCAGGAGACAGTCGATCATAGGTAACATAATTGGAAGTAGGGTAAGTAGTACCTGCGGTAGTCTGGATGGTAGGGCAGACATAATCTGCTGTCCAAACAGGTGGGCGAGTGACCCTTGTGGAACATCTCTGAGGAGGTACAGGAACAATAGGAGTATTATCCAGTGGAGTTGGAATGGGAAACTGGTTCTCTGGAGATGGATTGGGAAGTTGGTTCTTTGTGGAAACTGGTTCTGAGGTCGACTTGGAGGGTCCCATATCATGGATGGGATGCATGGTATAATAGGGTCTTGATAGTTCTGCTGCTGAAGGATCTTTTAAAAAAAGTGGAGATTGCGGAGATTCATTAGAAAGGGACCTATCTAAAAAAGGATAGGAATCTTCATGAAAAACCACATCCCTAAAAACCAGGAATTTCCCTGAGGTGATATTATATAGTCGATAACCTTTCTGATGCATTGGGTAACCCATAAAAACACATGAAATAGCCCGAGGAGAAAATTTATCATGCCCCCTTAAATTTATAGAGTAGCATAAACACCCAACTACTCGGAGATGATCAACTGTTGGTGGTTTACCAAAAAGAACTTCATAGGGTGTCTTGCCATCTAGAACTTGACTCGACATCCTATTGATCATGTAGGTGGTCGTGACCACACATTCGCCCCAAATGGTGGTAGGGATGTTGGCTTGGTGTTTGAGGGCATGGGCGACCTCTAAAAGATGTCGATGTTTCCGTTCAACTATGTCATTCTGTTGAGGGGTATAGACACAAGAGCTTTCATGGATAATACCAAGAAAGGAAAAAATGTCCGAACATTGAGTGTTGAAAAAATCCCTAGTATTATCAGTTCGAATTCGTTGAACCGAAAAATCAAATTGGGTTTTGACCATGGACAAAAAATGTCTGATGTGAGTAAGTGTCTGTGTTTTAGATTGCATGAGGTAAACCCAGGTTCCCCGAGAGTAATCATCAACAATAGTTAGAAAATATCTAGAGTCGTCGTGATTGGCTGTGTGATATAGACCCCATATGTCCATATGAACTAAGGAAAATTTACGGGTGGTGGAAGGCGTGTGTTTGGGAAATTTTGTGCGAGACTGTTTTGCAAGAGGACAAATAGGATAATTGGGGTGAGGAATAGATGCACTATGACCTAGACGTTGATGCAAAATAAAAGAAGTTTTATTAATGTTTCTATTAAAAATAGAACTTTTATTTTCAGTAATACAAGACATTGAGTTTTTAGCATCAGAGGCACCTATCCAATAATAAAGACCTTGGTAAACTTTACCAGAGCCCATCAGATTCCCAGTCAAACGGTCCTGAAATTCACATTTGTTAGGAAAAAAAATTAATACACAAACATTATCTTGACATAGTTTGGAAACAGAGATGAGATTGAAACGGAAAGCAGGAACTAACAAGACATTATGAAGCATTAAATGTTTATTGAGATGAACAGTTCCTAATTGGGTGGCTGGTGCATGTGTACCATTTGGCATGCGGACTGATGTGTAGGGTATAGGGGATGTGTGGGAAAAATGTTTGGGATCGCAAACGATGTGGTCATTGGCCCCTAAATCAATTATCCAAAAATTTTCTTTTGTAATATTGGAACAAAAAGATGTACCTGTATAGGATGTTGTATTGGCCTGCGGACTTTGATTTAGCATTGCAGGATCTGGTGATACTGTTCTTGGCTAAACATAGGGGTCGCAACGTTATTTCCAGAAGTGACAGGGTGACTTACTTGATTAGCAGTGGCAAATCCAAACTGTTGGTTTTGGTGGTGGCCATGTAATTTCCAACATGTGTCTCTCGTGTGGTTTCTCCGTTGCAAAAATCGCAATAACGATTTTTGTTGGACTTGAATGGACCATGAGAGGAATTAAAATTGGTGGAGTGTGTTGGGCTATTTCCCGAATTTGGGCTAGTTGCAAAACTTGGGCCATTTCTGGAATTTGGGCTATCAACCAAATTTGAGCCCAAACCGTTATTAAGCCCAAAGAACCCATTTGATTGTGAGCCATTGGATAAGGAGATAAAATCTGGGCCGTTCACTCCTCCATATAAAACATTGCTTTCCCTTTCAGATTGCCCTAGCCTCCCTTTTTCATTTCCATGTTTCATCTCTAGTGGTCCAGTATGTAGTCTTTGTGGGTGGACTGCGAAAGCAGCAGCTTCAGTATTGGGTTGGGATTTAGACGAAACCAATCTCTGGCTTTCATCTTGCACGACCAATTGGTAGGTACACCGGAGAGATGGCGTCGGTGATGTAGCCAACATTTATGTTCGAAAAGCCAAAAAATTGTCATTCAAACCAATCAAAAAATGGATTAACCTGTTTTGATCTTTCAGGTGCTTGATCTGGTGAAGAATCATGGAGGGCCCTTCAAGCGGTTCTTCAACAGCATTGAGCTCGTTCCAAATCGCCGAAAGGCGATTGAAATAAGCAGTGACTGGCAAGTTGTGTTGTTTGATTTCAAGAAGATTTTTACGCAAAGTAAAAATCTTTGCGAGATCAAGTTGGTCATACATCTTTCGGATGTTGGTCCATATTTCATATGCATTCTCTGTCTGAGGCAAGCCGACAGCAATCTCCTGGGTTAGGAAGTTGCTAATCTAGGAGTGAACGAGAGTGTTGCACCGAATCCAGTGCGGGGAAAGATGTGGTTCAGTAGGTTGGGGAAGGGTTCCATCGATGAACCCTGCCTTATTTTTGGTTACTAGAGCTCATCGGAAGTCTCTAGCCCAAGTGGCATAATTTTGAGATCTGGCCAATGGCTGTTTGACGAGCACAAGCTCAGAGCCATCAAAAACCGGCGAAAAAAGGGCATCCCCTGGTTCCGGTCGACCGGTGGAGGTTAGAAGAATTTGGAAGATCGGGTAGGGATTTTGACTCGTCGGGTTAGGGTTTTGACCCATAAACCCGAATGGAAATGGGTCGGGTTGAAAGTTTAATCCAGGTTGTTGGTTGGGCTTTGGTGGATGGTTTGGACCAGTGTGGATGTTTGGGCCTGTTGGAGTGGGATTAGTTTGGTTGTGTAGGCCTTCATTTATGGCTGTGGACTCTGAGTCTAGTTCAATGGGTGTTTTGGTTGGGTCCATTTTGTGATGTTTGAAAAAAAAAAAAAAAATCTAATTCTACTGCCTTGTTTTGCAGGTTCAGAGAAACAATGGCTTAGAGAGGATTATAGCGGAAGCAAAGATTAGCTCTGATACCATGTCAGAATTTGAGCTGGAAGGAAGGCAGAAGAGGCAGAACACTGTCGAAGAATGCCAATGGATGGAAGCTTGACAAAGTGACTGAAACAATGTCGAAGAATGTCAAGAAAAGAGATAATAAAAGACTGTAATTTTTATGTATATTTCTTGTATTATAATGAGTACATCAGCCAATTTATATAGTGGCTTTCAATACAATAAAGGTAATGAAATAATACAGTAAAAGAAATGTAATAAAGGTCTTAATTACAAAATATTACAATAATCAATCAAACAATTGTAAATCAATAATTACTTGATTCCAGCATAAATATCTTCAGCATTCCATATTTCATCAAAAATATCGGTTTATTACAAACCCTTACGTAAATTTCTTCAAGAAATTTAACGTCTTTGTATTTCCAGTTGATTTAAAAACATCAACATTTATTAATACAATTCTTTTACCCCATGATTTACTGTCTTTTTCTGATTGTTGCATTTCCAGGTCTTTTTTTGTTTCAAATTTTTACCGTTAAAGTTTTCAAAATATGCTAGACAACAAAAAGTTGGTGTTGTTATAATATCAGAAAATCAAGAGTATTCATGTATAAAATTCTCGTGCTGCTTGAGTCTCAAAAAAATCGACATTTTCGTTATTACTATCCCTATGTGCGCTGATTAATACTATTATCAGTAAGTTACTAATTAAGTTAATATTTATATGCCCGATTACAAGCACACATTTCTACTGATTTAACCAGTACACTATATTAACGAACTAAAATGGCAAGAAGATCGCGCAGGCCATAGCCAACGCTCAATCAGCATGCCGGCATTAGAAAGAAAGAGACATCAAGTGAAGTGACTCTTCACAATTCTTTAATTAGCTTGACAAGTAAAGTGTGTGATGTTAACCATACTCTTTCGATCAATTGAAAACATATAAATAAATACGACACAAATTCCATGTACATCATAAACATCCCTTCTCCGTTTATTTAATTCTTGTTGACTTCTCATAATTGGCCTGTTGCCGAAAGCTTGTCAAATCAGATATTTAATCTGGTAATTCTAAAGAAAAGTTCAAGCCGACATGCCGTAATGGCCGGCCTGAAAAACATACAAGCCATTTTATTCCTTTCTGTCTCATTCATTTCTAAACTTAAACCTCAAAGTGGACAGTATTCTATTTCATATCCTATTAGCACAACAAAGTAAACCCTTATTGAGATTGAACAATGGAGCAGCTGCCGAAGAATCTTTTACCCGATGAGGCGAGCCAGGAGTGGTTGAATAAGGGAGACAACGCATGGCAACTCACGGCGGCCACACTAGTCGGCCTGCAAAGCATTCCAGGCCTAGTCATCCTCTACGGCAGCATGGTAAAGAAGAAATGGGCGATAAATGCAGCTTTCATGGCCTTCTACGCCTTCGCAATGGTCATTGTCTGCTGGGTGGGATGGGGTTTCCGCATGTCGTTTGGCGATAAGCTCGTGGCTTTTCTAGGAAAACCTGCGGTTGCATTGGACGAGAAGTTCCTGCTAGGGCAAGCGTTTCTAGGATACTTTCCGACGGCGACAATGGTGCTCTTCCAGGGCGTATTTGCTTGCATTACATTGATTTTGATCGCCGGGGCGCTGCTGGGGAGAATGAACTTTCGTGCGTGGATACTGTTTGTGCCATTATGGCTTACGTGTTCGTATACGATTGCGGCGTTTAGCATTTGGTGCCCTGATGGGTGGCTGGCGAAACTTGGAGTTATTGATTTTGCTGGTGGATATGTTATTCATGTTTCGTCTGGTGTCGCTGGTTTCACTGCATCTTATTGGGTAAGTGAAAATCACAATTGTCAAATTTATATACGGAATTTTAAAATATCAATTTATTACTCAAATTTATATTCTGTTTCTGATTTCGACATCGTCGCAATCCCATATCACCATCTTTCTCTTCTCCGATCATCACTCACCAAAACCTTTTAAACCCTACTTCCGTTGACCTTGTCAATCGCCAACAATCGAGCGATTATGATTTGTACAGTTGACCCTCTCAAGTCAAATTATAATCAATCACAATCATCAAAATTCAACCTTTCACCGTCAAAAGACTCATCGGTCTTCTATTTTCAAAAGTCTCAATAATCTTGATCGAGTTTATTCTCAGTTCACCATCGAAATATAAATTTAGATAATAAAATAATATTTTAAAAGTTTATGAAAGGAAAAGTATCATTAAACTATTATTTTGGTGGGAGAAAAGTCATTAACTCCGCTTCATATAATGAACTTGTCAAGAATTTCCCAAAACCAAGCCCCATATTCACCATCCGCCTTGTTTATAAAATACATAATTCATTTATTACCTAATACAAACAATTTATCATTTTTACCTTATATCAAAAGACATTCTTTTAATATATTATTATATCGAAAAGGGTTAATATTATGGACCCACTGAGATAGTTAAGTCACAAATGTCCAACAATTTTTTAAAAAGTATTAAATACTCTCATGTGTAAGGTTTTTTATATTTTTAGGAAGTTTACGTATAATTTTATGGAGTTTTTGAAATTTGATATAAATATTTAATATTTTCTAAAAAGAGTGATGCTATTGGCCTCCACATTTTATCTTTCGTCTCATTAAAATGTTTTAGCATATGTAAATGTCTTTATAAACTCCACCTATTTTCAAAAATACCGCTTTATTTATATTTTTAATATTTTTTATGCTTCTTGTTTGAATGTAATGATAAAGATAAAATTCACTAATATATGTTTCTACTTTCCAAGAACAGAAGAATAACGATTAAGAAATTTGAATGCATTAGTCTTATAAATTTTGGGGAAATGCAAAAGAAGAAAAAAGTATAGAAAAATTAAAAAGAAAAATAATAAAGCAAAGAATTTAGTAATTACATGATCTAGATCAAATTCTTTCAATTTCATAAATTATATTTTCATTGGTTAAAAATAAAATTAAGGTTTATTAAATTAGGGTTTATAGTTAAAAGAGGAATTAAATTTTTTACATACTTATAACTATTTTATGTCTTATTTAATAATTTTATTAACGAATAATGAATAAAATTGTAATTAAAAAATTAATAATAATTGATGTCTAAAGAGATAAAATATGGGGAGTCAATAGCATTACTCTTTTTAAAATTATTTGGGCACTGCATAGATATTACTTACAACCAATTAATAAGAGTCCATTTTAAAAAAAAAATGAATTATTTAATTTATATAAAAAACAGAAAGATAATATATGATATCATAAATAGCAATATAACGTCATTTGAAAATTTTAATTTTACAAAAAAAAAATTACTTCTGTAGGTGGGGCCGAGAGCCGACAAGGATCGAGAGATGTTCCCGCCAAACAACATTATTATGATGCTTGCAGGTGCAGGCTTACTTTGGATGGGGTGGAGTGGATTTAACGGTGGAGCACCTTTTGCTGTCAGTGCAGATGCATCTCTGGCCGTTCTTAACACCCACGTATGCACTGCTTCTAGCCTGCTGACGTGGCTCCTCCTTGATTATTTCTTCTTTGGAAAGCCTTCTGTCATTGGTGCTGTTCAGGGCATGATCACTGGTCTCGTTTGCATTACTCCTGCTGCAGGTCAATTTACTTTATTACCCTCACGATCCAAATCCTCAATTACCTCAGATAAAATAATTATGATTATTATTCTGGCAGAGCCAATGTATGCCCAAGGTGGGCCAGCGCCCTCTGGGATTTTAAAAAAAATTATACATTGGACCCAGAATGTTAATATAGTTACAATTACCCCCTCAAATAATTTAAATAAAAAAACATATTGAATAACATTTTACCCATTCCAATAATTGAGTCTAAAAAGAAACTAAATGAAATTTTAGATTGTAAATAAGCCCATCATATACAACTTGAATTCCCTCATCCAGTAAGTATCCCTAAAAGCAAAATAAATGAAATTTTAAATCATAAATAAATAAAACGCATTTTATACAAACTTAATGAATTAAGGTTTTTGATATGGGAAAATTCTTTGTTACCTCATGAATCATATTCTATTTAGGCTATTTAATTTAATTTAAGTTTATAAATTTATGATTTTTTTATGGGTTTCCTTACGTTGGTATGATTTCCTTTATTTGTTGTACCATATATTTAAAAAATTATAATTGTATTGAACAAAAAATATTATCAATAAATTTTAAAAGTTTTAATATTAGTGATTGTGAATAAAAAATTCAAAATAAGTTATTGTTTAAATATTAAAAGTTTTTAGTTAATGTTTAACTAACAATGTGACATGAAACAGGAGTTGTACAAGGTTGGGCGGCAATTCTAATGGGAATAATCTCAGGAAGTGTACCATGGTACACTATGATGGTGCTACATAACAAGCTTAAACTTTTACAACTCGTCGATGATCCGATGGCCCTCATCCATACTCACGCCCTCTCCGGAACCCTAGGCGGCATCCTGACCGGGTTTTTTGCCGTACCCAAATTATGTCGCCTCTTCTACATGGTGCCCGATTGGGAGAAGTACATTGGGCTAGCATACGGACTTCAAAACGGTAGAACTTCAGCAGGATTCAAGCAAATGGGAATTCAAGTAGCGGGGCTTGCGTTTGTAATATGCTTGAACATTTCTACGACGAGCCTTATTTGTTGGTTGATCGGGGCAATAGTGCCGCTTAGAATGACCGAGGAGGAACTACAAATTGGCGATGAGGCCGTGCATGGGGAAGAAGCTTTTGCGTTGTTTGGTGATGGGATGAGATTTCAGAATTCTAAGAACAATTCTATTTATGATGCGGATGAGTTTTCATATGCCACTTCAAAGTCTCTTGGTGATGTTCAGATGGTTTAAAAACTCAGTTTTGATCTTGTTAATTATAAGTTGTAAATTTTTTTTTACAAAATATATATTACTAGCATGATATTAAATATATGTTAATTTTAGCAATGTTACAAGATTTTGATTTTGGACAAAAAAAAATCTAAAATACCACACGGGTATTATGTCATCCCCGTCATCATATGTAATAATATGAATGTTTCCTCGTTTCTTAATATTTGTCATAGATATTTGTTAGAACTTAAGTCCAAGGAAGAGTTCAACCTAAATGACTTCTCTGACCTTTGAGCAGTTTTACTAACCTATAAGTTATTCGATGTAGCACCTTCTTGGAATATTTTCTCGTTTCTTAATATTTATCATGGATATTTGTTAGAACTTAAGCTCAAGGAATAGCCCAAGAGAATATTTTCTTGTTTCTTAAATTTATTATAGATATTTGTTAAAACTCAAACACAAGGAAGAGCACAACCCAAAAGATTGGTCTGACCTTTGGGCGGCTTTATTCTCCTATAAGTTATTCGATGCAGCACCCCCTCCCAAGGAGAGAGCATCATATCTTAATTAATCTAGCCTATACAGAGGCATTTTTGTAACCCAACTCTCAATGAAAACACTAATGTTAGAACTTATACTCAAAGCAAAGTTCAACTCAAAAGATAGGAGAGTCTTTTAGGCTTAAGTACATGTACAATTGGTGGGTGTGACTTCTCTTATTAAATAAATAGGGCATGCATCAGCATTACTATATGTTTATGTTTATTTTTGACTAATTCAATCGTAATTCATCATCTAAGTAAGAATTTTCAAAAGGCATTACGTACTTGAGCACATAATTCAAATAGATTAAATTAAACTAATTTCAAATGCCGGTTCTAGAAGGAGTACATCCAAAATGAGAATTTGGGATCTAATAATCTAACCCATCTTCATAAGCTCGTGACCAGCATCTTAATGGCAATAGCTAAAAACAAAAACATAAACTTAGAATATTACACATAAATTTAGTATAAACATGAATCGTAACGTTGAATACAGAGCTTATAATAAAATATTATAATTTTGAAAAAAAAAATTATACGTAACAAATAAAATATTATTACCCTCGTAAGTGATTGTTTAATTTTATTTTCATAAAGTATTACAAACATCCTAATATTATTAAAAAAAAAAAAAATTATTAAAACCTTTTAACTTTTTTGATAACTTTGGGTACATATAAAGTCAAAGGATCACACAATACCATAAATACACAGGCAAGGAATCATCTATTCACCTAAAGTTAAGCAAAATGACAAATAGATCCCTTATCTTTGAGATTAAGCAAAGACCACCTTATTGAAGAGATCGTTGATGAAGCCTGCACTTGTGGCCCCGTGATCACGTTAATACTGTGGGCTTGGGTCCACGTAATCCAGGCAACTTTGAGAAAATCAATGCCGTAAACGCGTTAGAACGGGAAAGACTTATTAACGGGACCCATCATACATAAGCCATTGGTCCCACCAAGGCACGAAGTCCCTAGTCTGGGTTTACTTTGGCCTTAGTTTAGCCATTAATTACACAACCTGCCCTTACCCTGTTTGTTATTTCTTGGTAAATTGTGTTTTGTTTTCCTTATTTCCTAAGAAAATTGTTTCTACTTTAAATGAAAACAACTCAAAACCTACCGAATGTTGAAGCAAAACAATTAATAATGACAAGTTAAGAATAGTCATCCTCATCCTACAATTTTGTCAAAATTTTGGTTGAACTAAAAGGTTTTATTAATAACCAACCTCTGGATGACCAACTGGTTCAATGGAGACTTTTGAGTGTATTACTCAAGAAACCTTAAGTTTGAATCTATTCTCGATTGCTAATTGAAGTGGTAATTGAAGTTTTTATCTAATCAGTAGTTTTAAGGTCCCGAATAAGTAGTTAAGGTATGTGTAAACTGATTCGAACACGTTAGTTATAAAAAAAAATTAAAAAAATAGGTTATATTAATTTTGATTTATGAAAATTATCGAAGGCTGTAATTTCTGACATTTAATGTCAATGGTGATTTTCTTCAAGAAGAAAACAAAAAATCAAAACTTACCATTTAAAAAATATAACTTTCAAAGAAAAATGAAATAAAGAAACAAATGGCAATAAAGAAATTCTGTTGAAATCAAAGTGCCAAACAAACAAAGTGTTTTTACCCACAACACAGACCAGTTCAATTCCCAGTCTTCACTGTCCTAAAACTCAAAAACTTTTTCAATACTCCATCACACTCAAAATGTCCGACGGAGGTTTGACGCTCGTCGACGGTACCCAACTTCTCCGATCACTCTCTCTCCCTCTCACACTGCCGGACTCCGACGCCGCCGTCCTCACTGGAGCTCACGTCCTCGATTTCGCTGACTCAAAAGCTTCCTCCTCTCTCTTCGGCCTCTCATTGCCTCAAAACCTCAAGTCGTCGGCTCTCAAACGTGCCGCCGTTTCAGATGATGACGTCAATTTCCGAAGTAAAGAACTGGACAGAGATCACGCCTCCAAGTTGGTCACAAATTACCTCACTGCCATCGCCGATGTACTAAAAGGTATTATCATCAGTAACTAAACTTTGATTGCTTTAGTCTCGAATTTTTCATTTTCCCTTAATGCTTACCCTAATTACAAGTGAAGCCTCTAGTTTGAAAAGTAGTAAAAAGTTATCTTTTAAGTTTCAGAAATCATCGTCAACCTCTAAAAGTAGGATGAATTTCAAAATTTGGTAATTAGATCAAACCATTAGGCAGGGAAAAGAAAAAAAAAAATTTTTTTTTTGGGTGTTTTGATGGATTGAAAGTGTTGGATGATTGAATTATGTTTGTTTTAGAGGATCCGCTGTTGGTGTCAGTGTTGGATGGGAAGACACTGAGGGTGTTTTTGGAAGACGAAGATGATTTCGCCATGCTAGCTGAGAATCTCTTCACTGATTTGGATACTGAAGATAAGGGAAAGATTTGCAAGTCTCAGATCAGCAGTGCTCTTCTTCATATGGGAGTTGAATTGGGTGTCCCTCCATTTTCAGGTTTGTTTTGTCTTAAGTATGTTCTTACAAAGGCTAGAATTGATCGTAAATGGGTCCATTTTACTTTGAAGATCAAGTAGCATTTTTCATTGTTTATTGTTTATTATAATCTAGTTAGCTCAGGTTGTCAAAATATTTCTTTTTCTCAATGCATCAGCAAGCATTTTTGCTTTAAAACTTATATTAGTAAAAGCAAGTGCTTTAAAAATGTACCAAAAATCTTCTTTTTTCTCACCTCTTTTATGTATGGTGATAAAGATCTCTATATAGATTAATGATAGTAGAAATTAGATTAAGTGTCAGTAACTGTTCTAAACTATTCTGCCAATTCAATTTAGAGGTTTTATTTTTGGGATGTTACATTGAGTTATAAGTGAGGCCGATATTCCCATCTAGCATTTCATGCAAAGAACGTACGCAATATTATAGTTCTGGCAATAGTGATAATAGTATTTCCCATGTATGCCTGTTATAGCTCCTTGAAACATGATTATCATCAAATTCTAGGTTCAATTTGATGGCCTTTTTTTGGATGTAAATTATTTAGGATTGTTCTTATTTCATAATAGAAATTGATACACTGAAATTACTGTTGAGCAGAATTTCCTCTGATAAATGACATCTTAAAGAAACATGGAGCTGAGGGGCTAGAAGAGTTGGGCCAAGCACAATTCGCCCAGTTACTGCAGAATGTTCTACAAGATATAGCAGATGCCTTAGCTGAGAAGCATATTGTCGTCGTTCGTAACATTAAGATCATTAATGGTTCCAAGCTTAGAATGGTAATCTATCTCAACCTTATTCTTGTTATGGTTAATAATTCCACTGTTTTTCAAAATTTGCCTAAGATTATTTACTCGAGACACTGGTTTCTTTGGATCCATTTGTTATATGGGAATTGCCAAACAATGATATACTTTAACTATCCTTTGATATTTGAGTAACGCCATGTTACCCTGCCAGTTTTACTTTAACAATTACTGGAAAATTATTCCAAGAAGCTTTGAAAAAATTTTGACAGAGAAGAACATATGGTAATTATGATCACAGACTTGCTTCTCTGTCTGCACCACTGGAATGTTCAATCTGGTGAAGATGAAGTAAAATTGCAAATCGTTAACTTAAGTTGGCCTTGTAAGAAAGTCAGAAGAAATAAATTTTAGAAAAAAATAATACATTCTTACTAAAGCCATACTAGTTAAAAGAATGATGAAACAGAAATTACTTTAGAAACATTGCTGCATTGTATTAGTTTGAAATGACATGGTCAATTTCTTATAATCTTGTTCTTTATGGTAAATTTTTAATTACTTCTTCATAAACATGGCAGCTTTTGGCAGACAAGAAGCAATTGAACGACGTCATAGACAAGGTACTCCAGGAAAAGAAGAGCACTGGAGATGAACGATCAAGCATAGATATAATCAGGGGTTTCCTTGAGAAAAATGGAAAAGATTATGGCTTGCCACCTTCAGAAGCCAACGAAGCTGTGGTTCTTCTCTATGATGCTGTTTTTGCGGATATAAGGAAGAGTAAGACAGCTGCAAAAATGGATGATGAATTTAGGGAATTTGTGAAGAACATCCTGGAGAAATTTGCAGAGCAGCTCGAAACCAATCCTGTTTATTATGATTTTGAATACTGAGGGAATGGTTGTCACAGCCTGACCTCCTTTTTGTGGCATTTCATACACCCCTTTGATTTTTAATGTTTATATGTATCCATTTCAGCATAAAATGAACGCATGAAAAGTACAATTTAACATCAGCATATACTAATGCTATTTCTATCATATATACATATATATATCAATGTTGTAAACTATAAATGCAAATTTGAGGCCTTTGTGTGGTCTGATAGGTTACGCAATTCATTAGGATTAAATTTTCTCAGTGGCTCTCTGTTATATCATACATGTCCCCACATACAAAAGAGTGGAGCTGCAGGGTCCCAAAAGACTTGACAAAGTATGCATAAAATTAAGTATGTTTGCTACCAAATGTTGAACAAATGATTTTTGTTAAGAATGAGGGCATACCACATGCCAGAAGCCCCACCTGTGACCTGGCCACCCTTTACAGGTTGAAATTCCAAAAGTGCTTTGGAAGGAATCACCACTTGCCAGGATCCCCCGGCCCCGGCACCTGGTGGAAATGAACCAGCGGCTTCAACGAACATTGAGTGTGAAAAATCCCTAGCATTATCAGTTCGAATTCGTTGAACCGAAAAATCAAATTGGGTTTTGACCATGGACAAAAAATGTCTGATGTGAGTGAGTGTCTGTGTTTAGATGCATGAGGTATACCCAGGTTCCCCGAGAGTAATCATCAACAATGGTAGAAAATATCTAGAGTCATCGTGATTGGCTGTGTGATTGGACCCCATATGTCCATATGAACTAAGGAAAATTTACAGTGGTGGAATGCGTGTGTTTGGGAAATTTTGTGCAGGACTGTTACAAGAGGACAAATAGGACAATTGGGTGAGGAATAGATACCTATGACCTAGACGTTGTGCAAAATAAAAGAAGTTTTATTAATGTTTGTATTAAAAATAGAACTTTATTTTCAGTAATACAAGACATTAAGTTTTTAGCATCAGAGGCACCTATCCAAAATAAGACCTTGGTGAACTTTACCCGAGCCCGTTAGATTCCCAATCAAATGGTCATTTGTTAAGAAAAAAATTTAAACCAGACATTATCTTGACATAGTTTGGAAACAGAGATGGGATTGAAACGGAAAGCAGGAACAACAAGACATATGAAGGATTAAATGTTTATTGAGATGAACAGTTCCTAATGGGTGGCTAGTGCATGTGTACCATTTGGCATGCAGACGGTGTGTAGGGTATAGGGGATGTGTGGGAAAAATGTTTGGGATCGCAAACGATGGTCACTGACCCCTGATCAATTATCCAAAAATTTTCTTTTGTAATATTGGAACAAAAAGATGTACCTGCATAGGATGTTGTATTGGCCTGCGGACTTTGATTTAGCATCTGCGGGATCTGGTGATACTGTTCTTGGCTGAAACATAGGGACCGCGGCATTATTTCCAGAAGCGATAGGGTGACTTACTTGATTAGCAATGGCAAATCCAGGCCGTTGGTTTTGGTGGCAGCCATGTAATTTCAACAGTGTCTCTGTGTGGTTTCTCTGTTTGCAAAAATCGCAATAACATTTTAGTTGGACTTGAATGGTCCATAGAGGAATTAAAATTGGTGGAGTGTGCTGGGCTATTTCCCAAATGGGCAGCTGTAAAACTTAGGCCATTTCTGGAATTTGGGCTAGCAACCAAATTTGAGCCCAAACCGTTATTAAGCCCAAAGAACCCATTTGATTGTGAGCCATTGGATAAGGAGATGAGATCTGGGCCGTTCACTCCTCCATATAAAACATTGCTTTCCCTTTTAGTGCCCTAGCGCCTCCTTTTTCATTTCCATGTTATCTCCGATGGTCCAGTCTGTAGTCTTTGTGGGTGGACTGTGAAAGCAGCAGCTTCAGTATTGGGTGGGATTTAGACGAAGCCAATCTCTGGCTTTCATCTTGCAGCCAATTGGTAGGGCACCGGAGAGATGGCGCTGGTGATGTAGCCAACATTTGTGTTCGAAAAGCACAAAAACTGTCATTGAAACCAATCAAAAATGGATTAACCTGTTTTGATCTTTCAGGTGCTTGATGCGTGAAGAATTGTGGAGGGCCCTTCAAGCGGTTCTTTAACAACATCGAGCTCGTTCCAAATCGCCGAAAGGCAATTAAATAAGCGTGACTGTAGGTTGTGTTGTTTGATTTCAAGAAGATTTTTATGCAAAGTAAAAATCTTGCGAGATCTAGTAAGGTTTCCGAAAGGAATGAATCTATCCCAGTTGATTGATGACTTGCCCGACTTATTAAGGTCTCATTTGAAAGAAGATATATTCTCCGCTTGTGAAGGTTAGAAGGCTTTATGCTGGTTGCGTAATTGACTCTTCTGAGATATTCTTTAACAACAACAACAACCCCTAATGATATCTTTTTGAGAAAATGACAGGAAATTCATCCTCCAGCAGCATGAATCCGCTATAGCAGACACAGATTGAAACCGATGGAATAGAAATCCAATCATTCAATACTAGAAACCAGCACTATACATCTCTAGGATGTTGGTCACATTTCATGGATTCTCTGTTTGAGGCAAGCCGATAGCAATATCCTGGGTAGGGAGTTGCTGATCCAGGAGCGAACGAGAGTGTTGCACCGAATCCAGTGTGGGGAAAGATGTGGTTCAGTGGGTTGGGGAAGGGTCCATCGATGAACCCTTCCTTATTTTTGGTACAGAGCTCGCCGGAAGTCTCTGGCCCAAGTGGCATAATTTGAGATCGGCTAATGGCTGTTTGAGCACAAGCTCAGAGCCACGAAACTGGTGAAAAAAGGCGTCCCCTAGTTCCGGTCGATCGGTGGAGGTTGGAAGAATTTGGAAGATGGGTAGGGATTTTGACCCGTCGCTAGGGTTCGACCTATAAACCGAATAGAAATAGGTCAGGTTGAAAGTTGAATCCCGGTTGTTGGTTGGGCTTTGGTGGATGGTTTGGACAGTGTGGATGTTTGGGCCTGTTGGAGGGGTGGGATTAGTTTGGTGTGTGGGCCTTCATTTATGGCTGTGGACTCTAAGTCTGGTTCAATGAGTGTTTTGGTTGGGGCATTTTGTGTGTTTGAAAAAAAAAAAAATCTAATCCTACTGCCTTGTTTTGCAAGTTAGAAACAATGGCTTAGAGAGGATTGTAGAGGAAGCAAGATTAGTTCTGATACCATGTCAAAGTTTGAGCTGGAAGGAAGGCAAGAGAGGCAGAACACTGCCGAAGAATGCCAATGAGGAAGCTTGACAAAGTGACTAAAACATGTCGAAGAATGTCAAGAAAAGAGATAATAAAAGACTATGATTTTTATGTATATTTCTGTATTGTAATGAGTACATCAGCCAATTTATATAGTGGTTTTGAATACACATAAAGGTAATGTAATAATACAGTAAAGGAAATGTAAAAGGTCTTAATTACAAAATATTACAATAATCAATCAAATATTGTAAATCAATAATGCTTGATTCCAGCATAAAATCTTCAGCATTCCATATTTCATCAAAATATCGGTTTATTACAAACCCTTCGAATTTCTTCAAGAATTACGTATTTCCAGTTGATTTAAAAACTCAACATTTATTAATACAATTCTTTTACACCATGATACTGTCTTTTTCTGATTGTTGCATTTCCAGGTCTTTTTTTGTTTCAAATTTACCGTTAAAGTTTTCAAAATATGCTAGACAACAAAAAGTTGGTGTTGTTATAATATCAGAAAATCAAGAGTATACATGTATAAAATTCTCGTGCTGCTCGAGTCTCAAAAAATCGACATTTTCGTTATTACTATCCCTATGTGCACTGATTGATACTATTATCAGTAAGTTATATTAAGTTAATATTATATGCCCGATTACAAGCACACATTTCTACTGATTTAACCAGTACACTATATAACGAACTAAAGTCAAAATGGCAAGAAGATCGCGCAGGCCATAGCCACGCTCAATCAGCATGCCGGCATTAGAAAGAAAGAGACATCAAGTGAAGTGACTCTTCACAATTCATTAATTAGCTTGACAAAAGTGTGATGTTAACCATACTCTTTCGATCAATTGAAAACATATAAATAAACGACACAAATTCCATGTACATCATAAAACTCCTTCTCCGTTTATTTAATTCTTGGTGACTTCTCATAATTGGCCTGTTGCCGAAAGCTTGTCAAATCAGATATAATCTGGTAATTCTAAAGAAAGTTCAAGCCGACATGCGTAATGGCCGGCCTGAAAAACATACAAGCCATTTTATTCCTTTCTGTCCATTCATTTCTAAACTTAAACCTCAAAGTGGACGTATTCTATTCATACCTATTAGCACAACAAAGTAAACCCTTATTGAGATTGAACAATGGAGCAGCTGCCGAAGAATCTTTACCCGATGAGGCGAGCCAGGGTGGTTGAATAGGGAGACAACGCATGGCAATCACGGCGGCCACACTAGTCGGCCTGCAAAGCATTCCAGGCCTAGTCATCCTCTACGGCAGCATGGTAAAGAAGAAATGGGCGATAAATGCAGCTTTCAGGCTTCTACGCCTTCGCAATGGTCATTGTCTGCTGGGTGGGATGGGGTTTCCGCATGTCGTTTGGCGATAAGCTCGTGGCTTTTCTAGGAAACCTGCGGTTGCATTGGACGAGAAGTTCCTGCTAGGGCAAGCGTTTCTAGGTACTTTCCGACGGCGACAATGGTGCTCTTCCAGGGCGTATTTGCTTGCATTACATTGATTTTGATCGCCGGGGCGCTGCTGGGGAGAATGAACTTTCGTGCGTGGATACTGTTTGTGCCATTATGGCTACATGTTCGTATACGATTGCGGCGTTTAGCATTTGGTGCCCTGATGGTGGCTGGCGAAACTTGGAGTTATTGATTTTGCTGGTGGATATGTTATTCATGTTTCGTTGGTGTCCGCTGTTTCACTGATCTTATTGGGTAAGCGAAAATCACAATTGTCAAATTTATATACGAATTTTAAATACAATTTATTACCAAATTTATATTCCATTTCTGTTTCGATATCGTTGCAATATCATATCACCATCTTTCTCTTTCCGATCATCATCACCAAAATCTCTAAACCCTACTTCCGTTGACCTTGTCAATCGCAACAATCGAGCGATTATGTTTGTATAGTTACCCTCCCAAGTCAAATTATAATCAACCCTAATCACCAAAATTCAATATTCA